TACAATACTATGTCTTTGATGATAAAATACTATGTCTTTGATGATAATATATTATGTCTTTGTGCTAGAACATTGTGTTCATTGGCGAGCGAGCGCAGCGAGCCATGGTTCACGGCGTGAACCACATAGGATTGCGTAGCAATTCTCGGAGGTTGGCGAGCGTTAGCGAGCAGGGGGAGGAGCCTCCTAGTATATATATAAATCTCTTGTCACAGCTTTAGTGTTAAAACTCCTCGGAAACGGCTTGACTGATTTTGATGAAATTTTATATGTATTTTCAATAGGTCTGAGAATAGGTTTATAACAAATTGTTTTTCAATTTTTGGACAGATTTAACGTATATTTTAATTATATCTTTATTTAATCGTATTCGGGTCCAAACTAGACATAGAAACATAATAAATCAAAAATAATATTCACGCACGTTGCAGCAAGTCATATTAAATTCTAATACTTATGCACGCCCTTAAGAGAAGAGCATCAAATATATTTGCAAGCATGTGAATAAAGGCAGTGATATGGCAGTATTTCGAGTTGAAAATACCAATGTTACTGCTCTTCCAGTGAATATCAACGGCGACATAATGCTGTACCAAATAGGCCGGTACATCAGCTCCAATGAAGCTGTTTGGCTTATCTTTGGTTTCCGAATTCATGAACGGGATCCAGCCGTTATTCATTTAGCCGTCCATCTTGAAAACGGTCGGAGCGTATATTTCAAGAACGAGATAGTGATTGACTGAGCTGTAAATCCACCAAAAACTACACTCACCAAATTTCTTGAATTGGGCAATCGTACGGATACTTTTGGTGCCTTTGCACGGACATTACTCTACTCACAAGCACCACCCTATTTCACATGGGTTCAAAAAAATGGACACCCCGCAAGCAAGGCACACTGGTTGATGCATGTCGCGGTTTATTCAAATCAGACACCCCGGGGAGAATATTTACAAGTCAACCCAAGGCAGACTGAGTACTTTTACTTTCGGCTGTTGCTGGTTAATGTCACCGGCTCATTGTCATCTCAAGATATACGTAAAGTTGATGGACATCAGCATCCAACGTATAAAGATGTATGCTTTGCATTCGGCTTGCTGGAAGACGACAACCAGTGGGAATGTATGCTTGCTGAAGCAGCATTGAACTGTACTGCAAAGCAAAATCGTCTACTATTTTCTATAGTATTAACTACATGCTTTCCGGCCAGTATAGAAACGTTATGGGATAATCACAAAGATTCGATAACTGATGATATACGGTATCAACATCACACGCGTTGCAACGATCTAACGATAGCATTCAGCGATGCTATGTACAATGAAGCACTGATTGTTATTGAGGATCTTTGCATTATTATTGATAACTCGATATTTACCACTCAGTCATTTCGGTATGCCTTCGCCAAATCGAAGTGCATCGGATTTATTAAACACTGACATGAATCATGAACTTCAATTCAATACGGTAGAAATGGCAGTGATTGTTACTCGCAATGCTCCACTAATGAATGAGGAACAAAAGAACATTTATGATCGCATTATGCTCGTAGTTTCGGCAGGACAAGGTGGATTTTTTTTCCTGATGCACCAGGTGGAACTGGCAAAACAATAATTATTTTGCTAATTCTCGGTGAAATACGATCAAATAATGGCATCGCGTTGGCCGTTGCATCATCTGGCATTGCGGCAACTTTATTGGATGGAGGCAGAGCAGCTCATTCAGTATTTAAGCTGCCACTAAATATTCAAGACAACCCAGATGCAGTGTGCAACATAAAATATATTTCGTCTATGGCCACAGTGTTGAAACACTGTAAAATTATCATCTGGGATGAATGCACTACGGCACACAAACATTCGCTTTAGGTGTTGAACAGGACATAGAAAGATATAATAAAGCAATGGCAAGTTATTTGGCGGCACTCTGTTACTCCTTTCAGGTGATTTCAGACAAATACTTCCCGTCATTCCGCGTTTAATGTACGCTGATGAGTTAAAATTATTTGTCAAATACATATGTTTAACAATAATAATTATAATGTTTAATAAATTAATACTATATCAAATCCCTTTTGTTTCACGTCTAATAAGGAAACAGATTATAATTCACGTTTTGCAAGTCTAGGAAATAGGTGCCTAATTTTGAGCCCCTATTACATTCAATCCGTATACTTTTTGAAACGAATGAAGTTTTTAATAAGGTAATATCCTACAGCTTTAGTTTCTCTAACTGTAAGAAAACATAATCAAACAAAATCAAATTTATCTTAAAACATAATTTCTTATATTTATTATCAAATTAATCTTAAAACATAATTCATTTTATTAAAACATAATCGAATTTATTTCTCTTCTTTATATTGTCATACATAATCGGATATAATCGTTTTTCTAATTTTTTTGCTAATATCATCATACTTAAAACAGTCCTACTAAGAGGCTTATTATATTTATCGCTTTTAACTATGTATAGCTGTTTGTTTATGTTAAGTTTAAATTACATATCAATTTTGAGGAGTTACACAGTTTGCATCCTTTAAAAGAGTTAAATATTATTCTTGTCTCTATCTAATAATTCTAAATTATGGAAAATATTTTTATTCAAATTAAAGGGCATACTAAAAGGATCAAATTGCTTGACAATTCAGACTGTTTAACCATTTAATAATTTTTATACTATTGTGAAAAAAAAAATATACGGTAAAGATGAAATATGCTTTTAAACTTACATTACTTTGTTACTTGATAGTTTCCCCATGGAATAGCATTTCGTAATTATGACAAAAATATTTTCTTTAGTACTTTGGATTTAAGTATAAAAAAAGACGAAAATATATATGCCGTTGACTTAAACGATAAAAGGAATGATTTTAAGCTTACTATAAATAAACCAATTGCATGAAATTCTAATGTTTCTAAAACCATTTATTCGAATAATACTTTAATCAAATAAATAGAATTAAATGAATACGCTGTAATATTTATTTAACCAAAAAAAATAAACATAATTTTCCAAAATTTGCGTAAGCACAACGGTTATCCGACTAATGAAATTAAATTCCAAGCAGAATCAATGAACTAATTACGCATTGAAATTACAAAAGAATGAATATATATGTTTATTTATTTTCAGATCCAGAAGCTAAGAAAGCTTTAAATCAATGCAGCTTTTCAAAATTAACAGAAGAGGTTAATCATTTTCTCTTTTTTTTATATTTGTATTAACTTTTATGAAATTAAATTATCATTAGACGATATTTTATTTATGGTCATTGTATCAATTACCTTAAAGGAATCAAATGGCTTCGTAGACCACTTCAACAACTGCGACTTCATTAACATCACAATAGCAAGCATAGAAGACGGGCTAAAAAAATATTGTGAACTCGACAAGCTACTTCAGGTACGTAACTAAGAGCGGTTGACATCACTTTAAGAGACATTCAAGTAGACTTTCAATGAGTAGGTTATTATTCATATATTTTATGCTTTATCTATAAATACACGTATTGAATAAATAATAAAAATCAAAGCTATATTTTAGTTGAGATTCTTAGACGTTTAAGTTAGTTTTACAAAAACATTATGTTCTTAAAATATTAAACGAGGCTAATTTCGAATTTACATATTACAAACCAGATCAAATGTTACTTAATGATTTAGAAACACCTATTGCATTTAATAAATTTAATTAATAATTCCGTGCTTTTTTATTAGTAACTAACAGTACTGATTCTTCACACACATATCATAAGAACATCGTTTAAATATTTTTGGTATTAATAACCAAAGAAAATTCACTTTAATATTCAAATAAAAATAAAAAAGAAGCAGATATTATGGAAAAAATTTCTTGGCGGTATTTCAAAAATGGTTCAAATAATTTTGGTCGGTGGAAGCTGGATGCGGAATTCGTATCGACTGGGATTCGAACCCGGTTTGTCTCATTGGAATGCGAACACTCTATCCCCTGAGCCATCGCGGCTCTCAGCGACCAATTGTGAGATAAGATTGAAGAGATAAGATCACCAGCCTAAAATGAGATAAGATTAAAGTTCTGATTCGCCTTTAACGGGACTACATTGGCATTGTGGGCAACATTGCGCACCTGTTATTTTTACTTCACAAGCAAGTTGGTGGATAATAATCTGAAATTGAGCAGGTTTGCAACCACCACCAGAACTAGATCCCTTTTCTTTCATAATAGTAGCTGAGCTTTCATCATGGTGGCTCAATCATTCAGACGTCACGACTTCTTAGATAAATACAGCTAATTTTAGATTTTTCTTTTCATTTTTTATTTTAGGATAAAGTTTATGAAGAAGTAATGAAGTTTTCAGTTGATGGTTACACAGTAAGTTTATTTTCTTATTACTCTGTATTTTCTTCAAATTTTCCAATTTTTGAGCAAAGCGTCAATAATTGTTCGATTTCGTTGAACTAAAACAATTCTAAAATAATAAACCCGAGTATACGAGACCGTTTCGCACATTAGATCAATTTTGAATTCTTATTTTTATAAAAATGCAATAATCCACACATCATAAAAAGGCTTCTAGAAGGAATTAACATGCTTTTCTTTTAATGCAACTTTTTGAGTGCAAATTGTTTTACAGCAAAAGGCATCGATTAAAGGTACAACATAGTATTGTACTTTGGATCACCAACTATTGTACCTTAGATAACAATCCTTGAGTTCTTTTGTTTGCATTTGTTTGTTGTTTGAATTTGTATATTAATGTAATTAAAAGTTGTTTTTAATGCAGTTAGTATAAGTTAAAATATATAATTAAGTAATTAGCACGAATGAGAAGTGTGAAGGAACACTTCAGAATATAAAAAAATATTTTTCATTTTGTGATTAGCGTTAACCAGATGGAAATATATTTGTGTTAACTTAAGCTTTTTCACATACCATAGAACAGAGAAAAAAAGTCTAAGGTAAGCACAACAGACATTGGACCAATTTTTAGTCAAAGTCTAGCAATATTAAATATTTTTCTTTTAAAAAAAGTGGAATGTTATCTAAAAGATAATTACATTGTGGCACTTATTAATTTAGTTCTTTTTTTAAACGCAATTTTTATGAGATTCTATTTAAGATCAAACTGATTGCAAAATTACACATCGGTTAGAAACTAAAAAATAGTTCTCTAGTACACGTCTAAAAAACCTATAATAGTATAATATAACTACAATTACTTTTTGTTGATAATGAATGATTTGTTTTTCGTTTAATAACATACAAACTCTGTACTAATACTTTCATAGCTTTTGAAATAATAGGTTTAAATTTCAGTTGTAGTTTTAAGTAATTTTACAACTATAAAATATCTTTTTTTTTTTTAGAATTGATTGTGCTTATCTGAAAGTAAACAGATCTTTTCAACCAATAAAATGAAACAAAATTTAGATTAAAAATTAATATTTCATTACACAAACATTACAAAAATAAATTATATATTATATATTAACTAAATTATTAATTATGTATCAAAATAAATAAAAAAATAATTCTGCTTGCAACTTTATTTTAAAATTTGCAAGTTCAAACATTCAAAATATGCGCTGTTATATTTTTCAGCAAATGTGTGCTGAACCTACTCAGGCTCAAAGATGTGAAGTACACACAGAAATTATTGTAAGTAAAATATTTAAAATGTTATTTGTACGGGATTTTAAGTAACAGATTAATGTTTGTATTATATGATATCTGAAATATTAATACAAATAATTTATGAAAATTTTAAATTATTAAAGTTTCTTTTAAAGAAAAACTTCCTGGAAAAAAATTACAATCGATGCTAGAATAATGTAATACTTCTCTATGTATTTCGATAATTATGCTTACTTAATTTTAACTTTCAACTAATTTTATTCCATAAATTTAGAATCATAATTAATTTTAATTAACTTAGTTTTGGGATTTTAAAATGATTTTTGATAGTTGCGAAAATTTCAATTGTTAGCTCAGCACTTACAAATCAAAGAAATGCTGAAATTGAAAACAATTTAAAAAAATTTTAAAAGATATCATTGATTGAAAAGAGCCGACTTATTTCGGTTAAAATAATTAAACAAAACGCTTATAAAGTAACGATAAAACAGATTTATTGCTTTGACCATTGAAGATAAATCAGAATCCATTTTAGCTATTCAAGGAGAAATCTAAAGACATAGCGAGACAGTCAAATAACCGTAAAACAGGTGGTATTTAAACTGTAAACCGTGTAAAAATGATTTATTGAGTGTTTTTACCTAATACGGTTAGACAACCAGAATCTTATCCTTACTTAACTAGACCGACTTTCAATAATTTTATTCTCGCATTCGGAAGCTTGAAGCTCTATCTTCTGATAAGCATTACGGATTCATATTTTTATTTTCTGCTATCGGATGCCTAACACAACAGTGGACTCATAATAACCATAAAGCAATGAGTGTGTTGAATGAGCCACTTAGTTCTTTGCAACTTTATAAGTATTTTTCCACTAGGGCTAATCTGTCATTATCATGACTGGCTGAACAAGGGTTCGAATGACAAAGTTAACTTAAAAATATTTCCTAATTCTTTCAATGCCTGAAGAGTTTCTCATGCCTGACACTCCTCAATTGGTGAAACTAAATTATTGGAATGCGGAACTTTAATTCCGGCATAGAGCTGCATAACATAAAAAAGATTAGTATTTCCCATGTCTCACGATAGACTGCACCACCAGCTAAACCAGTAAAACCCCATTCCGTGGATCATTTAACAAAACACAACTCAACCACAGAAAAGACTTACATATTCTAGTTTCAATGTCATGTTGAATTTAATTTTTACAGTTTTGAAACTATGCTAGTTGTGAAGGTTTACAAAACCGTATATTTTGGTATTCATAGTTTTTTAACCATACTTGCTGTGAACGGTTTGAAGCCCTTAAAGTTTAAAAAAAAATGCTTATATCCGTAAACTCTATTGTTGATTAGATGGACACTGCTTTTTATTTTACTGTAATTTTAGAATGAAATTTCTTCGAGTGTAGTATACTTAATGCGCTAAGAAATTTACATTAATTGAAATGCCTCTAATGCTCTTGTTATATTATTTTTAGGGCTGTCAGAGGGAGCTTTTAGATACTATGCACTTGGAAAATAAATGTTAATTATCTGAATTCAAGTTCGTCAATAATTGATTTTTTTTTCTTTCAAGAAATGTTTTGCATGCTTCAAAATAAATTATATTCAAAATATTGTATGATTCTTATTTTTTACATTGTGAAAAAAATTTTATTTGCATGGTGTCAAGAGTACTGTTTTTCAAAATAATATTTCTTGATTCAGTGCAGTAATAAAAAAGAATAATTCTAAAGTTTTTCATCAAACTATACTTTGCAGCCTTATTTATGCATTCATGATAATGCGGCGAATTAAAATATTCTTATAAGTTGAAATGGGAGCCTCACTACGATAATGTAATGAATTTAATAATTGGAATGTATTAGTAAAACTAAGGTAGCTATAATCATAATTTGCTTGTATGAAATCTTTAATTAATTAACTGATAAAAATAGCATTTTTAAAAATGATAAATCCCCGTATTTAGAAATCTCTTAAACGAGTTACAAATTTGCAAAAAAGAAGCATAGAACAAAAGGTTTGGCTACTGGTATAGCGTGTATCTATAAAATTCCAACATCCGTGCAATTATTGTTTCGTCACCTGTATTTTATTCAAATAATCATATTATTTAAACCACACAACTCTTCTTAATTCTATTGTTCAACAATGCTTCTTAATTAAAATTTTATTTTAATGTGATTGTACTTTTGTAATTTTAATTAGAAAGCCACCAAATTGCACTATAAAATGCAGAATATAGCGTTAAAACCTTTCTTAATATGCATTTTAAGAAATCTGTTTAAAACTGAAAAGCAAGCAAATTGACATATTTTAGGGGTCCCCAATGTCTATTTAAATAAGAAAAAAGACGTAAACACTCTCAATATCTGAAAAATCTCTTCAAAGTAAGGCAAGATGGCAGAATGTATAATATCTTCAAAACTTGCAAAGTCATATATCTATATATAAGCTGATTATATAATAACTTCACTGACATAAAATAACTTCACTGACGTACTTTCAAAGCTCTCGTTGTTACAGTGGTTTTTCAAAGGGTAAAACTCACTTTTTTTTAATCAAAACGTAATCTTCACAGTAAAAAGCTAATCACTTATTCATGAAATTGCGATTACAGATTTAATACTGAAACAATTTAAGAGCAACTTCAAAAAATAATTTTTAGGAAATATAAATTTAACATGAAATTTATGTATTTTCATTAATTGCAGGTAAATTAATCGTAAACAGGGAAAAATGGAAGGTATCTTACATTCAAACCCTAAAGAATATCTTTTATTTGGTACATTTCATGTCGATCTCTTAGGCCCATTTCCTTCCACAAACAAGAACTATCAACATAGATTTTCTGTGAAAGATGTTTTTACAAAACTTACTTGGTTTCATCCAGTAAAATTGGCGTGCGCGCTAGCTGCTTTGAAAAATTAAAACAACAACAAGCATTTGGTAACCCTTGAAAAATTATCTCTAATTGTTTTTTTCATTTCAAAAATTTTGAAGGCATTCTAATAACAACTGACATACCAACAGGAAATATGCTGGTCAAGACGACTCATAAAACTCTAATCCCCTTACTTATGATACTGTCCATAGTTAAGGCAACTAAATGATACAAACATGTGAGCAAACTTCTCAGAATCACTTAAATGCATTGAAGCAATTGATAAAAACCTCAGTTAAAAAAAATTTAAAAATTATGGTCGAGGAATATGCAAAAGAAAAAAATCACAGAAAATAGCTAATCATTATGGCCATTAGAGAAACAGCGTATTTCGCAGATTTACGATCAAAACAATGTCATGGCACAATGAAAAATTATAGGGAAAAGAAGCAAACTAAGATTCAAATTATTGAAAGATTGTAAAACGTTATTAAAAAATCGCAAACTGTCGACTGTTATGTTACCGATATTTATACTCTGCGTGTAGCTTAATTTTAATCAGGTACGTTTTTATAAGCATTTTCTATGAATATCGCGAGGAATATAAAGGTATTAACATATAAATCGACACTCACTTTTTAATATTAACGAAGATTCAAATAATACCCACATTGCAAATTATTACACAAAAAAGGAAATTTCGGCGGTATTATCTCATTATTATCTCATTACCCATTATTATCTCAGAAATGTACATGCTCAAAATGTAGCTTTTTCTGAACAATTTTTTTTCTAGAAAAATATTTTCCATAAGCGTTTCGTTGAATGTATTAATGTCTTTTTACAAATAAAAACTAACTTTTTAAAATAAGATTCAAATCATTCCTGCAGTACAAAAAATATTTTAAAAAAATTGCAAGCTGTCTGCCATTAGAGATATACATGCTCTACATGTCGCTTGTTCTGAACTGTACAGGCATTTTCTCAACAGATTTTTTTTGTAAATATTTAATGGCATGCATGGACATTTTCTAATGAATTCAAGTTTAGTTTTTAAAATAAAACAATATTCAAATAATTTCCATTTAGGAAAATGTTTTAAAAAAAAACGCAAACTGTCCACATTTATAAAGCGTAAATATATTCTCAATATGGCCTGTTTCAAACTAGAATAAATTCTTTCAAAAAATATCTTTACATTTTTCGAGCATTTATGTGTATTACGCATAAAAAATTTTTTCTGTAAATTAAAATACAATATGGTAAGGAAATTTTCGGTAAAAAAAAAATTAATTCTGGTTAACAAAACCATATTACATGGTATTTAAACCATTCATTTACTAAATTTTACGTTCCTACAGTGGCTGTTTACCAGACATTCAAAATTATAGTTCTTATTATCACGCAATTAGTAAAAAAAATACAAAACTGAAAAGTATATTGAAACTAGTAAATGATTATTATAATATGCTTTAAAAAATAATGAAAAAATTACCAAATTTTTTCACATTTACCAAATTTTATCACACATTCAAAGCCCATATTTTAATATTAAATTAATCAAAATCATCACCAAAGCGTTTCGTTAAAAATTACGATATATTTTGATGCTCACATATAGCCAGAAAAATGGTAAATTTTACCATATTCATGTAGTTTTGACCATACTATTTTTCTCAGTGCACCAATTCACTCTCACTTTATATCATAAGAAAAGATTCAAATGATTCTCCTCTTGCGAAATGTTATAGAAAAACGTATATTGCCCTCTATTATTTTTGCAATATAGGTGCTCGAAATGTAGTTTATTTATAAACTGAACATTTCTTTATATCTTCCGGGATATATATGGGAATTTTATGACAAATTGGCGTAGAAAGTTTCACATGATTCCAGCACTGTAAACAATTATAAGCAAAAATTCGTGAACTACTAATCCCTATGTTAACTATATATATATAGGCTCTGGATATAGCTTTTTTTTAACTGAATAAGAAGTTTTTTATTTTCATAAAAATTTAGAAAAATATTTTGCGACACATATGTGTATTTGTTGTCAAACTAAAGTACTTTTTTTAATTTCGATCAATTTTCAAACGATACAGGCATTGCCAAAAATTATGAAATAATCGTAAACTACCCACCTTGTAAATATATGCTCCATCTTATATGCTTTGAAAGTAGATTTTTTCAAAATTAAGAATTTTCTAAAATTTTTTGTGGCATATATCTGTATTTTCTTACAAGCTGGCTCTCACCCCTTTCAACATAAAATA